ACCAAGCATGTTACCATGAGGCTAAGTGCTTATTTGATATACCTCTTTGAATGCTAGTTGATGAAGGCTATTTCGCTTAAGTTGGGATGACTTTGATTAATGTATATATGGGCTCGTTTTTTCAAATGGCACATATGCAAAACACTTTTCAAACAAACATAAAATCAAAGCATTCCAGAGTGGGTGACTTAGTCTATATTTGTGTGCCTTACATAGTAAGTTAGCATAATAATCGAAACAAGAGCATATAATGTACATAAAAATCACATCATGATTAGTAGAAGGCCGATCTTTGATTAGGTGAGTGGGGTGCTCAATTCATGATCTTCCCCTCTCATACCTAAGTTCCCGAGCCGAGACACTTTGGTTATAACGGACAAGTGGCCTTTGGCACAAGTCACGGGTTTCCTAAATTTCTCAAAAATATTTAGGTGGCGACTCTATAATCTGGCAATGTAGTCCATTTTTGTGAAATTTAGAAAACCCGTGACTCGTGCCAAAAATAGACTTCATTGCCAGATTTCAGAGTCGCCAGCTAAATATTTCTGTAAAATTTAGAAAACCCGTGACTCATGCCAAAGGCCACTTGTCTGTCATAACCAAAGTGTCTCAACTTGGGAACTTAGGTATGAGAGGGGATAGTCATGAATTGAGCACCCCACTCACCTGATCAAAGATCGGCTTCTACTAATCATGATGTAATTTTTATTTACATTATATGCTCTTGTTTCGATTATTATGCTATCTTCACTATGTGATGCACACAATTATAGACTAATTCACTCACTTTAGAATGCTTTGATTTCATGTTTGTTTTGAAAAGTGTTTTGAATATGTACCACTTGAAAAAGTAAGCTAATATGTACATTACTCAAATCATCCCAACTTAAGCAAAAAAAAAAGCCTTTATCTGCAAGCATTCAAGGGATATATCAAATAAGTATGTAGCCTCATGGTAGTATGCTTGAAATGGCAACACTAACACACATGCAATATGCTAAAGTGAGAAATACTCACCTAGTACTCAACCGAGGCAAGCCAAAAAGAAAGTGGTTAGAAAAATGCATGCTCTAATATGCAAGTGACTAATGCAACACATACAAAATGCAACTACGAGGTTCGGTTCAGTAACATGACATATGGCTTAACTCAAAGCATGCGATAGCACACGTATTCAAGTAAGTAGGAAATGACAACAATATTAAAATGATTAACCGAACCCAATGCATGCAAAAATGGATACAAATCATGGTAATGGTATGAAACCAAAATATGATGCTATATATAACCATCGTAAGAAAGTAAATAAAAGAGAGAAAGAATGGAGGTTTGGAAGACATACACAATATTACAAGTTTGCCCTCGTACAAGAGGGTCCGAATGAATATCCTACTTTAAACTAATTATTACAACACCAATTAACTAATAAGCTAAATTAACTAATTATTACAAATCCAAATTAAACTAACTAATTAATTACAACACGTTAATATTAAAGTTAATTTAAAGGACTAGAACTGGAGATGAGAAGCTGCGCACACACAGATGAAAACATCCTCTCGGAAACCTCTCTGTTTGCTACTAGATTCTATTATGTTTTTGCAGTCAGAAAATTAATCTGTTTTTGCCCCAGCTTCTGCTCTGTTCTACCAGGAAAATGCCACTACCTACATAACAAAAGGTGGCCGGCCAACCACTGTTTTTAGGTTCTGCCCTGCTACTACAGAATTGAAACAGAGCAAAAACAGAGTGTTTCCAGGAGATTTTTATCCTTTCTGCCTCTCCCTATCATAAAACTGATCAAGGGAGGAGTAGAGTCGGTTCACAAATCATCGATTGTCACAAAGTTGTTGTATGATGATCTATGAATCGATAGGACAAACGCTCAATGAATGGAAATAAATGACTAACAACACCTCTTCCTTATCATGGAGTTACCGCAAGGGAAGTGGTTGACATTGCTTCTTGAACCATTAACATCACTAACGAGTATGTAATGATTCAAGACTCAATGAGTTCAATATAACGTCCGATTGAACCCAACTCAATTTATTACACTTTTTATTTCTTTAGTCCAATTTTACCCTCTTTTACATTAACTTGCCATTCTTTATTCATTTTGTCCAAAAGTGATAATTACATCCACTAATGAAGAGAAGTGTCAAACAAGAAGTTGCACTTAGCATGAGAGAGATGTAATGCCCTGGTAATGAACCTCCGAATAGATTAAACCATTAAGCATGGAAGGTCTCTTCCGCATGCCTTGAACAACAATCAATTGTTTGAAACAACTCTTAAAAAAAGAAAGAAAACCAAGAAAGGAAGGAGATTGCAGAGATGGTTATTACAAGTGTGAGTATATGTATGAAAGCTTAAGGAATAGTGGCTAACCCCTCCACTGTTTGGACCTCAAATCCACATGTTTTAGCCTTTGAAAACTCTGAAAATCAATAGCTAAAAGTTAGGAAACAAGTGGGAAACACAAGGATAAAAAGTATGTAACGAGGTGTAAGAAAGGGTGGTTAATCCCTCCACCTTGGGTAGCTTTTAAATCACAAGTTTCAGCCCACAAAAACAGTCCAAAACAGAGTATAAACACAAGAAAAAGAAGAGTGAAGAGTAGGCAAAAGATGGCAAGAGTTATACCTTTGAAGAGAAGACACTCTTTTGTTCACAAACCATAAAATGTTCACTCGCAAGGGTTGAAATTTTGGCTCAAAAATCTCAGCAAGGAGCCTCAAATTTTTAGTTTAGGAAGTGTATGTATAGTGTATGTATGTTGCAAGATACAGAGGGAGAGTGTTTGGCAAGTTTTTGAGCTTCGACAAAATTTTCTAACCTAAAATCAAGAGCGGTGGGCTTGTATTTATAGAAAAACAGTTTCTCCTGTCAGAAATATCTATATAGAGACAACTAGTGCAAGGCCTGCACATGGGGGGGGACAGCTGGCTGTAAATATCTTCCTTGGAGGACACTTGGCCGGCTGGCCAATGACTTGTACGGCCGGCCACAAAAAGTGGCCGGCCAGTTCAAAAAAACTACTCTCAAACCCGACTTCAAACGGACATATCTCCCTCATCCGGACTCGATTTTAGGTGATTCTTGAGTCTAAATTGAAACCCGAGAAGTATAATTTCCAATGGGGGTAGCCTCACATCTAAATTCCAAATGTACAAAGAGATATGTCTAATTTAGTGAAGGCTGCTCATTTTTTTCTTAATAGTTTGATGCTCAACCTTTTCCTAAACTAGTTTTCTTCCAACCCTTCCTATTTCCTTCAAGTCCAAACCTACAAATAAGATGCTTTTAAATATTTTTCAAACAGTTCACCTCTCTTCCATTTATTTCCACTTTGTCCTTACTCGGTTTATTGAAAAGTGCAATATTTTAAACGAAATGCGAGCCTCAGAACATCGTAGAAATATTTGGAAAAATATTTAGAAAAAAGGATTTTAAGGTCTGAAATACTTTTGGTCAAAATAGAGTGTAAGGTTTGGATCAGAAGCTCAAAAACCGAAGCCTTTTGCTGAAGAATTTGAACGATTATGCAGCGTAACTTTTCATCATCGAGTGCTCAAAGTGCGGCACCCCAAGTCTTAAGGGCAGTCAAAAATGGAGTGTCTACACATATGCTTTTAATAAAATCATATATCAAAATCATACTTTTAATGCAATAGGAATTACCACACGTCTATCTATAACGAAATATTGAAAATGAGAAAGAAAATCCCTACCTGTTGAAGCGAAAAAGAGAAAATTCGAAAAACTACAGGCAACGAAAACACGATCCGCTCAGATAAAATTAAAGCCCTCACTCCTCTCTATGTTTTGGTATATGGAACTAGGGGTAGCAAATGAGTAGAAATAGATCAAACCAAGGGTTTTCTACCTTAAAACCCCAAAAATGACGATCTGAGGAAGGAGAGAATAAAGTGGTCCAAAATAGCTTTTTCACGCACTGAAGTTCTATTTATAGACAACTAGTTTGCAGGCGTGAAGCAACACACCGCGGGAGCGAACCCCTTCTTCGCAGCCGTGGTCAACAACACCGCAAGCGTGGACTAGCTAGAAACCTAGTCGCTGGTCGACCAAAACCATCGCATGCGCAGGCATATTCCCAAAGGTAAAAGTACTGGAAGGAGTTTTTCTTCGTGGCCAATTGCGAACGCGACCTGCACTCCTCAAAATCGTGACCTTGGTAACAAAGATCGCGTCGTAACCAAGCAAAAACAAGAAATTCTTGGTTGCTTTCCAAAGCCAACCCAAGGCATTCTAAGGTTAGTAAGGTAAGATCAGAGTCAAACACGACAACCATGCGTCCCAACCAAAAACCAAAATGGGGCGGGTTTTTTACCCAGGCCACTACATAGAGAGAGATGAGTGAAGAAAATAATAAATAAAAAAATTATAATTTTTTATTTTATAAGTTAGGGTATTGTAATAATTGTATTATTTTAGTTAACTGGGTTACTGACGGGGGCAACAGTGGTATTTCAGAAATTAAAAGGGGTGACAGTGATATTCAAAGAAACACGGGGTGTCAGAGTAATTTACCCATAAAAAAATTATTACTGGATTGTACGGTTCTCTCAATGACCTGCTGACAAAAGACCATGATTCAAATTTTGTTACATTCCAATTTGTAAGATAACTTGTTTTCGCAGGTAATTGCAGGTTTGTGGGTTGTTTTGTTTCATATATGGGCAGTTGGTGCAACTTCCTGACCTTGTTCTAGATATGTAAGGAATAATATATATTCAATTGCAATTTTTTGTATTTAAAGCTTTTGTACAAAGCTACTGAGGTTCAAGACACACGGTTACCAAGTGCAATGCCTGAATTGGAATCTTACTGCTGCATATGCAGCTTCCTTACCCCATTCCCTTCCTTACCGGTTGTAAAATAAATAAGACAACATTCAAGAAAATGCAAAACAAGGCCAAACAACAAGAACAAAAATAAGACTAAAATGGTAAAGTCACATTTATGCAGCTACAAGATTCAAGGCAATACACAGCTTGCTGTTAATTTCTGATTTGAGGCTGAGGAAAACCATATGACAGTAACATACATTTACATTTTGGTTTAATAAAATAAATTGTTCGGTAACAAGCATAAGCTAATCTTCTAGCCTTGACACAACAATGTTACAATTACAAACTCCAAATCAACTCCAAAAGCATAATGGAATTACTCTCATCTCAGCCTATTTAAAAGATACGACAATCTGTTTCCAATCATTTAGCTCTCCCAACACTATCCTTGAATAATCATCAACCAAATAATGCCACCAGAGAAAAAAATACATTTGCTGTCTGAGACAGAGCTATCTGTGGCATCCACTAAAGTGTTTTGGAATGGCCCACAGCTTCCGAAAGGACTCCTCGTCTGAATCACTATCACCACTATCACTATCTGAAGACGATATCATAGATGGACTACCATGTAATATATACTCCACAATCTGGCAAAAACAAAACCGTAGCAGAGATTATTTGATTGGGCCACACAATGTGATGATGCGATTTTGCTGACAAAAAGGGATCAAAAGAATGAAAGGGAGTTCCGCATAGTCAAACAACACTTAAAATCCAGTCTTTAAGATCACATGTGCTCATGGGCGGGGTTCAGGCATTAGAACAAAGGCAAGGATCCTCAGCATTATTTTAATTGTTGTGTCTACAGAAAAGCTGGATGTCTGTTCCTGTTCTGGAAATTCGGATCCAAAAGTACAATGACCAACTACACTACAACAAACCAACAAGCATTCGCTCTGGTGCGTAGGCCAATTTATAACACATTCTATTACAAAACAGATGCAACAGTTCAACCACAGTTATATGCAAGGAAGAGGAATCAGTTGCACGGCATGAGCTCCCCTCCATACCTTCATCTCTCCATACTCATTCATACCCCCCTTGTGCGCCCTAATTTGGATCCATATTGATGATCCGAATCGTCTACATTGTAGACCCCGCAATAAAGGTATGTAAAAAATTAATTTCATCATACATCTATATGTAAGTTTCTAAAGAATAACTTGTATATTCAATTGTGTATAATACAAAGTGTACAACCAAGTTATATAGACCTAATCTAAAAAAGGAAATAAGAATAAACTTATATTTTTACAATTAATCTAACATATTTACATAATTAACAGAATATTCTCAAATTATAAACACATGAACAAATCGCATTTTGTTTTATAAAACGAACAACAAATATGATTGTAAACTTAACTCATCCATATTATAAAACAAAATGCACATTGTTCCTGTGTTTATATTTGTCCGGTAAAGCTAATTTTTTGCATGGATAACCTTTACTGCGAGACCTACAAAGTAGACAGTTCAGATTACTAGTGAGTGCCCAGGTTAGAGCCCACAAGATGGGTATGGAGAGGATCGTATCCCAAGTTGCACTGGCAACCAAATCAGCACCACAGATTTTCATACAAAGAGATAATTACACCAAAGTAGGGGGAATCATGAGATGTATGGAAAATAATCAAATATAAAGGGAGAGGATCCTAAATGATGCATTAGAACAACGAAAATAACAAAAAATCAAAGTTCATATACACCAACTTGCAGAAATAGCACCTGCAACTAAAAATCTACAAGAATAAACGAAAATGCAGATGTTTAATCAAAAATAAAAATAAAAAAATAAGAAAACCCCAGACCTAAAAGTTACCTGCTCAGGTGATATGTGCTTGATTTTCTGGCTTTTGGAGTTTAGCCTACAGTGTTTATTGGAACATTTCATGTTACTCAGCCAAACAACTGCATCACAGTGCCCACAGTATCCCCTATTAGATGTAAGTTTCTTTAATGAATTGCCTGAAACCAAATAATATATGTCAAACTAGGGCAAATAATATTGCATAGTAAAGTTGCATAGAGAGAGAGAACTTCTCAGGCCCATCTAATAGGTGCTTTAGAAAATAAATACTTACAAGTACCATGGGAATTATACATTTTAAGAATAAGAATAACAGCCATTGTTCTTAGCATTGCAAAATGCCGGATCTAACAATCAAATTGTAAGATGTCAAGTAATTTGTGATGCCGTATGATCAAACATTTGATATGATTTTCTCCAAAATATATAATTTTAAGTGACAAACAGAAAAGCAACTGCATATTAGCTTGTGTGCTCCAATATTGTAGTTTAGAAGAAGCCCAAATAAATCATATATTTGAAAGGTAAAGTCCAAGTGTACCTTTACATGCTTTTTTAAAAGTGTCTCTCCAGTCAGTATTATTTCCAGCATTAACTTCCATTTGCAATTGCATATGCTCATCATTTTCAAGTATTCCATACTTTTGCAGCCCCCTGCCCTTGGAACAATTATTGGAATCACCAAAGTACATAACATGTTGCAAATGCCACAAGTGGTTGTCACTCGCTGCCGAATTCCACAACCTTCACATGAGACATCCAACGGTGTTGTTAAATTAGGAAGGAAATAGTGTCACAGAAGGGGCGTGGGGGGTCCAACTTCCAAGGTTATATAGCCTTTCAAACTAGAGCATGCTTGGGGTGCCATTCAGAAGGACCACCAATTAGATATTTAATTCGTTCAATTGGTAGATCCACACGATATAATAAACTATGACAAGGTGTGCAAACCCAATGTTATGTCTAAACAGGGTAATGTAAAGGAACATTACCAGCATACTGATGCAGCCGAAAGTAAAGATTGCAAATCTAAAAAACTGAAGATGTGCACTACAACATCTTGAGGAAGTTGAATTGAACCTGCAAATATGCAAAAAATTTAATAATAAAGGAGTGCAACCAACAGAAATAAAATAAAGGATATCTCAAATATGCTTCATCTGGTTGTAACAGGGAGAATGAATTGTTAAACTGTACAACCAATTTACAGCTTTGTAAATTGCAAAATATGGGCTTACATTGAGTTAATTTGGGCACCAATGACTTAATATATCTTTCTCATCTACTTTCTTCCTCCGACTTGAAACAAGACATATTTGAGACTACTTTACATGACAACTTACAATTTTCGATACAGATTGTACAGACAATAGTAGTTATGAGCAACATATAAAAAATGCTCCCAACTAAAGTGATCACTTTGTAACATCATTGGTTTCCAAGATCAACATTCATTCAATTAATGGCGACCTCTTGGATGATTAACCAAAAACTATGTTACATGGACTTAGATACAAGTGTGAATTCATCTAATTCTCATGTCCAAGGACACTAGGACAAGGCAAAATTTCGTCTTTATTAATTTTTTTTATTTTATATTTTATGGTGAAATGGTGCTTACAAGCTAACATAAAGCATGTTATGCATTAAAAAACGAGTCTAATGTAGATATATAGTAAACTTTACTTAGTCATACTTGTTGGTTGCATGCCAACCAGATAATATCAAGCACATGTACCCTTGCTCAAGTATCAAGTGTGCAACATGGGTACTTCACAAATTTAGAACAGTCCATGCAAATAAAATAAAAGATTCGATAGATATGATTATCAGTAGCTGTAGACCATCCATGAGCTCCACTAGTTAATGGTAGCTTTCCAATCCTAGACCACATCATTGGGTTTGACGATGAAGATCCACTTGATGGCCACCTCATGGATGATTGACCAAGAGAAAAAAATGCACCTGATAGATCTCATTTCAGTTGTTCACTATAGGCTCTGACCCATCTACGAGGTGCTTCATTAATCAAAGAGAATTGGGCCATCATGCTTCATTATATCGAGCCAGTAAGAGAATTGGAGCTAAAAGAGATGACTCTATCACCCACTTAGATAACAGTTTCTCAAACTAAAAGATACCTTCTTCCTGTCGGTCCTTGCAGCGCCTCTTATGGGCAACCTTTGCATGCTTGAACTCTGTCACAGCCAAAACTTTCTTTTGCTTTGGCAACACAGCCTCTGCACTCTGAATGAGGAGATTAGCCGCTGAAACAGCATTTTGTGTCTGCATCCTAAAAACGAAATTAACCATTATTCCAATATGGATAAGCAATACATGTGAAAGCAGAAAAAGACATCCCCAGCTATCTATTTATAGTGGGCTGATGGTGGAAAGTAAATAGTCGTAAGAACCATCCCAGACCCAGCAGCATATGAACAGGCTGTCTGCCCCATGCATTAGGAATTGTATCGAGATTAACTGATTCTTAAGCTAGTAATAAGCCAAACAACTAAATAATTTTGTAAAGAATATAACTTCCTTTAGGTAGATGGCAAAGGTGCATAGATTTGGCCCATGTGACGAATGCTACCAGATAATAGAAGATATCAGGGTCTTTGTTTTCATGGCACAAGCAACATATCATGCTATGCACTACTTGAGGAGCAGTTGATATTTTGTTGCTCCACACCAGAGGTTTTTATATAAATTTCCAGAAATTCACTGTACAGGCGTTCACAGGAGAAACATATCAAGTGAGAATAGAAAGAGTTGTGAAGCTATCTCTACCAAGCTTTCCCAACCTCTTGTTAGTAGTGAGGAGAATAAAATTGCATGCTAGTAACATTCCCGAAGACTTCATTTAGAAACCAAAACATTGCAAATCTTGCTTATTTACCCTATAATCAATAACCAAAGCCACTCACACTTGCCCATGAAATGATTGATGGAATTGGTATCTCAAAATGAAATTTTGAATGTTGAGTATATATGGAAATAGGATTTAACTATCTTGAAATCCCATGAAAAATGGTCACATTTCAATGGATTGGGAATTAAAAAAAAAACCTAATATAATATAGTTAGCCACGCTCTGCCATTCCGTTATTTAAGTTTCCCATTTCTTATCTATTACTGCAATAGGGGCACTAGATAATTTTTGGGAGAAATAACAATATAGTGTAGGTTTAGAAAAAATAAATAAATTACAAGTCAGTGATAAAATTTATAAATTTTAATAATTAAAATCATAAACTTTTTCATGAATCAGTAATTGTTTTTGTTTCCAAATCCTTGTCAAACCAAACAGAAAAATGGAATGCTTCCATTATAATTCCAATTAGTTCCCCCCACCCCCCAACCAAAAAAAAAAAAAGGGATTTCCCTAGAAATCCATTCCTTTCCTTTAATATTTTTTGAATACCAATATCTAAAAGGATTTGGTTAAAAAAGAAGTGTTAATATGAGGTTTCAACGCAATCAAAAACAATTACTTTCATGATTTTACAAATTAACTCACAATTGTCATTGAAACATTTATACTTAAATTCATTAATTAGTTCTGAACAATACACACAACATTAACTCTCTTTTTCCCCCTGTAATTATAACAAAAAAACCCAATATTTGTCCCCAAAAAATAAAGAAAAGAAGGCATCATTAAATTGTCTTTAACTAAAATTATACGTGATTCCTAAATACCACACATTGATTTTATTTTTTTATTTATTTATTGAGTAAAATTATAGGTAAGAGTATTTAGTAATGATTGAATCAGTCATTGTCTTTAACCAAAATTATAAAATAGTTTTCTTTAACCAAAATTATAAAATAGTTTTCTTACCCATTTTGTTTTTCTTTTTTTTCTTTTTTTATCAGCAAAAAGATAATTTTATTAATGCAACTTACATAAATACAAAGTATAATTACATCAATAAAACACCGAGGTGCAGAACAACATCAAGGCCAAATGAACATATCCCGACTAAGGCCTCGCTTGGGAACAAGCTTTTTTTAGTAACTTTTGGCTTTTTGGCTAAAATGTGATGTAAAAAAAACTAGTGGCTTTGTTTGGTTTGTGTTTCTCAAAAAATTTTGGAAAAAATTCTCTACAAATAAGTTTTCAAAAGTAATCAAACCAAACAAATTTTTCCAAATTTTTTTTCCAAAACTTGTTTGGTTTACAAATTTTCCAAACAAATCTCTCTCTCATACACATCAAATCAATCACTTTTTCCAAAACTCTCTCTCAAAATAATTTTTCAAAACATCTTTTGAAAAAAAAACCAAACCAAGCAAATTTCGTACTTTTTATCTCAAAACATGTTTCTCAAATACAAACCAAACAAGGCCAGTATGTTTTGGGTGACTTTTTGGCTTTTTACGAAAAGATGTGCAAAAAGTAGAGAAAAAAATGAATCTTTGACTTTTTGGTACGGGTTGTTGACTTTTTTATTTTTTAATAACTTTTTGGCTAAAAAAGTCACTTGACAAACGAGGCCTAAGTTGACACATGAACACTAGCAAATCATATGCAAGAACCAAGGAAAAACAACTTTTGGTGAGAAACCAACCAAAGAGAAAGAAACACCAAAAAAATCAAAAAACAACATAGGCAAAGAAGATGCCTATCTAATTTACCCTAAATTTAATGAGTCAGTCAACTAATAATTTTAATAAACTATTTCATAGTAATTTTAAGCACATTTTGTCATAATTGAAAAAGAACATACAGAGCAAACATAACTTTAGAAGCATTACATATTGACCAGTGCATTGAAAATTGGAAATTAATAGGGAAGGCTTCAATTGGGGAGACAAGGTTCAATGTAGGTTCAGCTCCCTCTTCTACACTCTACATCCCTTTTTTTTTTTCTTTTTTTTTTTCTTTTTTTTGGATTGGCATTGGGGTCTACGGATGGTCCTCGGTAAGAAGTTTCCCGCAAGTGCACCACTGTTAATTCAAGAGTTTTCCCCCCTGTTTGATGGGCCCAAGGAATTGTTAACACCTAAGAAGTTTCGATCCCTAAACCTTGGGGAGAGCACACCCCCAAGACCCATGGCCTTGCCACCAAGCCAACCTCTTGGGGTTACACTCTACATCCCATTTTTGTCAACAAGTGAAGTGATAACTGCCCAACTGAAGTCATAATCTATGTAATAAAGCAACTTTGTTTTTGAAAATGTGTTAGAGATACATTTGGTTGGAATGGCTGAGATTAATTTTGGGTTTGATCCAACGGTGACAAGATTGTTTTTGAACCTTTGTCCAACGTGGCATCAGTGCATCAAGGGCTGGAAGATGACACCAGCATTCAATGGCTAAGACCAAACCTTCCTTCCTCTTTCTTTTTCTTTGCTTTTCTTTTAATTCCTCTATCAACCTCACCTCTCACATTTCAAACTTCAAACTTGTTCACAAAGACCATGCTACCTCTCTCTTCATGTCTCCACCATGGGTTTGTGAGTTGCAAAGGGTTGATTGAGACTTGAGAGGGCTTGATCTATGAAGTGCTGATGGACGACTATAGCTTGAAGTCGACGATCAATGAGTGGATGATTTCGATGATCAAAGCTCTTGAAGTGAGCATGGCAAGCCAAGAACAAATTGAGGCCATTTTGGTTCAGAGATCCGAACAAATCCAATGGGTATCCCTATCGCAAACCCCTAATATCAGTCTCTTTATATTTGGGTAAACAATTGTCAATTTCCAAAATTATTGATTTCGATGACTAAAGCTCTTGAAGGCCACTCTGGTTTAGAGATCCGAACAGTTCCAGTGGGTATCCCCATCACAAACCCCTAATATCACTCTCTTTATATTTATGAAAACAATTGTCAATTTCCAAAACTATTGAACTAAAATGTGTGTTTTTATTTCATTGCATTTATTAAATCTTCTATTAGAATAACACTCAACATGCTTGGAGGTGTCTTCAGAGGCTTCCTCAAGAAATCGAGTCCAGCATTGTCAATTGTTAATAAGACTTCTCTTGAAGCCACGGCTTCCTGCTCAGCCATGGATTGTAGTGCATTTGGCTGGGTTTATATGGGAATGAATCTTGATTCTAGAGAGCTTCTTGCTGTTAAGCAGGTTCATTTTTATGTGTCTTTCTTTTATACATACATACATACATGCATACATATATATATAGTTAAATTTGGTATTTGTTACTTCAATTGTTTTTTGTATTGATTTTTATGTGTATCTAAAAAGGTTTCAATTGCAGTAAGAGTACTTCAAAAGAGAGAACCATGTCCAATTTAGTTGCTTTATTTATAGTTATATTGTTGATTCTTAGAATTTGTATATGAAGCATTGTGTTTGTGGTCCTATATATATGATGCAGTGGTTTGACGAAAAAATTAGAGAGAATTTTTTTTTTTTTTTTTTCTATTCAATCTTTGAGATTATATTATTTTTTAATTTTAGCCAAAATTCAAATGGGACCAACCGCCTGAATAGAACAACAGGGATTCATTTACTAAGGAACAATAACAGTGGTGCTATAGGGAACGCTAGCTCAAAATCTTCTCTTGCAAAGGTACAATTTTCTCCTAAATCATTTTTACATGAGTATTTGCTCATCAAAACAATTGTCTGTTGTTTTTGTGTTTGTGAGTGGAGTGCAATAGAAATGTTACAATAACCGTAGTGAATAGTGGAAGGAGAGCTCCGCAGTGAATTTCTAGGCTTGAATGAGGAGAAGGGCTCTAATGGTTTTGATGTAAGTGGGATAACCTTAAAAGTTAGTTTCTTTACAACATAATTTGAAGACAGGAAAGAGCTCTCTCTCTCTCCCTCTGTCTCTCACACACTCTTTTCCAAATGGCAATTTTTTGTGAATTTCATTGAGGGTTTGTGTCTTTGGGATTGTGTTTTGTACATAATTTAGTTGTATTTTGATTGTCCTTTTCTTTATGGTTATGTATAGCTCCTTTGCTGCTTCAGGTCTCAACTTAGGTGTACAGACAAAAGGTTGAATATATTTATTCACTAGTTTTACTTGCTTTGGTTTAGCTATGTTGTGATTCACTTTCCGACATAGATAGTAGTTTCATCTTGGTAGTTTTTTTGTTCTTTGGACGGGTTTGGGGATGGCCTGAACAACATAGGCAACTTGTTTAAGAATGTGAATGTGAAGATACCTAGGCAACTTGTTTCATAGAAGAAGAAATACAAGAAATTAGAAAATGGGAGAAAGATTTGATACAGTTGTACTGAGTAATGTTCATACACTAACTAAAGATTTGATACAATGATTTAATCATTCATGAGATTCATTTTTATGATGGAAATCACTTAATTATAGTTATGAAGTCCTTATGAGTAACAAGGCAATTTCTCGTGCCTCTTTCAAACTTATATGGCATCTTCATTTTGTTTCTATGTAAAACATTTGATTTTATTTGTGAAGTGAAGATTGGTTGAGTCCTTTATATCAAATTAAAAAACTGATTTTTGCTTGCAGGATTACTGTTCAAATTCATTTGTTCCTTCCAAATTAGTTTGTGTTTATTGTGGCCAATACAAGCTATGCATTTCATATCATCTCTGTTTCTTTTTCTCAATCAATTTGTCATGTGTCTTAATGCGTTGCTAGGAATGTAAAATTTTGTACTCATCATTTCTTTCAAAGATTAAAAATATTGTGTTTTGGACTTACATAGTAGTGACGACACAAATTTTTGATTTTTTTCTTGAATTTTGCAATGAATAATTTGTGTTTTTTTCCGGGCTTTTTAATTTTAATTTTAATTATTTGATCTATTTATAGAGCTTAGATAATTGGAAAAATTGTGAGTTCATCCATGTGTGTTCTATGTTTGTTTTACTGTGGTAATTTATTATCTAGATCAAAGTGTTTGCTATGTTACATGGACTTTTCTATTTCCCCTAGAGTACTCGTGTCTACCGGATATGACATAGGTAAGGGAGTGGGATATGTGTCTGACACTCGTATCCAATTTAGACACTCGAATCCTTTAATTTGTTGCAATATATGAGAAGAAGAAATTCACACTTGCTAGTAAAGCAATATTTTTAGTCTCTCATATGAATTTATAGAGATTTTATATTTTTTCTGAATCCTATTCAATTTCAAGTATATCTTTTTATAATTTATAATATTTCATCCGAGAATATTATATAATATGCAATATATATTGTGTATACGATGCTTCTCCGCACCCTGATCCAATTTTGAATACATATCCCAAGATCTTAAGATTTAAATTTATAAAGGTTTGATGCTTGGATACACACCTACACCCAATACTCGTACCCGACACCACGTAACATAGAGTGTTTGGAGAGGTTTGCCTAATTCGTATTTTTGCTGGTGTTAAAATTTACTCCCCTATCCAACTAAGAAGACTTCTATAAAAGAGTTATCATTTTATTGCTAGGTTTCACTATGAAAAACCCATGTAATCTTCTCTCTTACATTCATGTTTAGAATCTTCATTCAATGCCATTTTTCATGTGTGTTTCAGCCAATGATGGGGTCAGAATTATACTTGCCAATAGTATATTCATAGCTATTAGAAAAGTACATGAATTTTGTGCTAAAAGAAGGGGATTAGTTACAAAACAAACTGGAAGAAGATTATTTGTTGCTATGACAATGTCATTGCAGAAACTTGTGAAACATGCAATTATCTCTTAAACATGGATTTGCTGAGTTTTTTTGGTATTGTTCAGATTCAAACCGTAAAATCATTTGATTCAATGATATTATAGTAAGCTATTCATGCATTTGTTATTGTTCTTCTGATTGTTTTTATTACTGCGATGAGTTCACTTTGCTGTCAAGTTAGAGTTGCTTTCAAAGAATAATGTTCTTCCATAAGAGAGGGTGGTTTGCAATCAAATTGTGTTGGTAAGTTGGTAGTGCCTTTAAGCACAGATTATTCGCTAGTACAAATTATGTTAGTTTCCCAATAACTAAAAAACATCGGCCAGCTAGTACACATTAATGTGTATTTAGGAGGAAAAAGATTGGATACACAGCTAACCTTTGGGATAGTGCACAAAGTAACTGCCCCGACACTTGAACCCATAATGCACAAAGTAGCCGCCCCGACACTTGAACCCATAACCTCAAGGCTATTAGGCCAAGATTTTACCATTAAAACAACTAAATATAAAAAATACATAATTAAAAATGGTTTGTGAGAATTATATTGATGAGTTGAAATTTATTCTGAATATAAATCTCTCTACAATTAGATTTTAAGAGTTTTAAGCATTAGATACAAAATCAATTATTCACGTTTAAAAAAAAATAACAAAAAAAAAAAATCATCAAAGCACAAAATTGTATATGATTGTGTTGTCAACATAAAGAGCACACACATAAACCAGACAGTTTTAAGAAAAATTGTATTATTATAAGAATGAGAATGCTTCAATTCAAGGAATAAAAAAAATCAAATAAAACGGAAGGAAAAAGAAACAGCGGAGGAGGAGACGGAGACTCACAGGGGAAGGAGGCGGAAGGCGGTGAGGGTGTGTTGGAAGACGAGAGACTGAAGGTTTTTGGGGAGCTTAGAGTAAGCTCCTCTGAGAATGATGCTGATCTCTCTGCAGGCTAATGGGTATTGGTAGATTCTTGGGAGGGACTCTCCTATCCCCAGCTTTTCGTATCTCTCTAATGCTGCTACCATTTTCGTGGGATTGAGAATTTGCCCACGCTCAAATCAAAGATGACCCAATTGCCATGCGATTAGGGCACATAATTGAGGGAATAACTGACCTCCTTTCATTTTGGGAATTGATTTCCTTGCGATTAGGGTTACCAAATTGATGAGAGAATTCTTTTTCTTTCTCTTCGGGATGCTGTGACCAAAAACAGTTTTTTTTTTTTTTTTTTTTTTAACTAGCCTATCACCCGCACGCGATAATTATAAATATTTATATTTATTTTAATTTTTTTTAATATATAAATTATATTTTTTAAGATTTTTTATAAAAATAATTTAACAATTTTATCATTAATCATAGTGTACAGGAGAAATTAAAAAGACTACTACAGTAATTATACACGGGCTGTATCTATAATTATTTGTATGAGGAGATTTTAAATGTTAATCAGGAATTTTGATCAAATCAATAAATGCAGGTATGTGGATTGACAAAAAATATCAATAAATGCTGGGTTTTTTTTTTAAATCAAAAATTTAGAAAATTAAGATTGAAAGATTAGAGCTCCCACAAGACTTGGGGTTTAGAAACCCCCTTTTTCTTAATATATTTACAATTATCTATATATGTGAATTGCTATTTTTAAATGTCTTTTTTTTTTTAATGTCTTCTTTTTTTCTTTTTTTATATTATATTAAAGTTTAATATTTTGATAATAATCATATGTGTTGGAATTTCAAGGAATTAAATGTTTTCCTTTTTTTATTATATTATATTAAAGTTTAATATTTTGATAATAATCATATGTGTTGAATTTTTCAAGAAATTTTTTTATATTTGTTTTTAATGCATTAAAGTGTTATTATGAGTAATAATAATCATATATATTGGGACTTTCCAAGGGATTCATATGTATTGGATTTCAAAGAATTTTTTTTATACTTGTTCTTAATGCATTAAAGTGTTATTATGAGGGTAAGACTTGAGGGTTGGGAGAAGTTAATAAATGCTAAGTTTTTTTTTTTTTAATCAAAAAATCAAGAAATTTAAATTGGGAGATTAGAGCTCTCATAATGTTTGGGGTTAAAAACCTCATTTTGCTTAATATATAGTATAAATATACAATTATTTAGAACCATTGAACAAATTACAATAACATTTTTCTTTTTGTGAGTGTTAATGTTTATCTAACTTCAATCATATTTAAAAATAAAATTATAAACAAAAGGAGATAACTTCAATCATACAAATCATAATTTTTTTAATGCTATCTAATCATCATCAATAATTAAAAAAATCAATCACAAATTAAGTCAATTGATAATTAAAAAACACAATAATTTATTTTTCAAAAAACATAGTGAGTTAAAAAGATCAATTATAATTTTTTTGGTCAAAATACAATCTAATCATCATCAATAATTGGTACATTATGTGACCCTAATGAGTACAATCCATTTTATTTTTCAAAAAATACAGTGAGTTAAAAATCAAATCACAAATTAAGTGAATTGATAGTTAAAAAAACACAATAATTTTTTTTCAAAAAACACAGTGA